AAGAACTGAATGCGAATTTAGATGATTTTAGTACAATCTTAGCCGTATTGAATTAGATCTCAATTGAATTTCATTCGATTTCAATTGATCTTAAAAGGAATTCTAAATACATTTCAATTGATTCTCACGGGATTTTAATTCGATTTTAATTGATTTTAAAAGGAATTGTAATTAGATTTCAATTGATTTTAACGTGATGTTAATTTGATTTTAATTGATTTTAAAAGGACTTTGAATTATATTTCAATTGATTCTAACGGGATTTTGATTCGATTTTCATTGATTTTAAAAGGAATTTACAGGCGGCCCTACCAAATCATTTCAATAAATATTCCCCCCTAATAATAAATAATTTCTGACCCCCGGNNAAAGCCTAAACTCTACATATCCCTATATAGTCCCTGTATAGTCCCTATACAACCCCAGTACAGTTCTACACTACCTTTGCTGCTGAGTATCCACCGTGCCAATAGGAGGATTAGTGCAGCTGGACTGGGGGAGCGGAGGTAAGTTTTCAGCGTCATGGGGCTACCGTTAGATGTACTATAGTCTAAACCCCTTAATGGGGGGTTATATAGGGGATTACGATAGGGGTTATTAAGGGGGATACTAGGAGTTTAGACAATGGCTCAGATAAGTATTTGGTTGTGGTTGAATGGGTAACAAGCCCAGACTTGATTCGTTGGCAGAAAGTTTAGAGCTTTGATTCAGAGACTGGTATTAATGAATTCAGGTAAGCCAGATTCCATGCTTTAGCGGTGCGATTTTTGTGTATTTTTTGGGTGGTTATCATTCCAAGACGGAAAGAAACTACGCGTTTTTCAAAGGTGTGGCCGGTGGGAGCAAGGTCCGAGTCTAGTAGCAGATCCCAGCATCTCAAGTCCTTGACTTGATATCCAAGGGCCAAGGGGTCGGTCCCATTTACTGATAGCGCCTTGAAATATTCGATGCATTTCGACGCCATGTCTACAAATGCTACCTGCACTTATGATCAAAGCGTTTGTCAAAGCAGCTCACCTGCACACCTCGTGTGAACATAGATTTGTATTTGTAGCTACCGTGCAAGTAATTGACCATGGTCCATGTTCAAAACCCAAAGCCGACCTACCGAAAGCTACGCAGCAAACTCGCGCATTCACACCTGAAGCCCCGAACATGGGATTGCTGCTGTCCGTGACTGGCATTCACCAGCAGACGGCTTGGGACCAGGCGCGAGCTGGGCCTCCGGACGCCAAGTGGCAGTTGTATGTGAGGTAACTATTACCAACATACTTGTGCTTGTGTAGTCCCATCCCCAAGAAAAATCTGACCATGGTCCTCTTTGCACAGTGCGAATTCACGATTCGGGTTGCGTGGCATACGCGGCTGGAATTGAAATGCAACGACATCCTACACTGTCTTCGCCTTAGCTTAAATACCAAAAGCTTCAAGTCTACAGAACTGCACTCATATCAATGCTGACATTGTCTCATACAACCCGCATGGAATGCCTTGTTGACTTGCAGGAAAGATGAATGGTATTGTCATTGTAGCAGTCTTACTAAGAGCTCAGTTGGTATGGTTAGTTGCAGTTGTTGTTGATCTTACTGATGGCAATGTAGCAGTCGTTTCGATGGTTGTCGCCATTGATTTCGTGCTGCTTGTCTGAATGATATATAAGCCTGCTAGAATCTGCACCTGGTGCTGCCTACAGGGAAGGCAATTAAGCCTCTGCTTGGTTGATTTGAAGCTGACAAGAAACTCAAGGGTTCGGGGGGGTACGTTGCGTTGGTCCTGCAAAATTGTAGTTGCCCGTTTTCAACCGATTGGGTTTCGAGTCTTCGGCGCTGAAATCATAAACAGCACAAGCCAACGGTCAGCCCAATTCTTGAAGTGACATCGACGTACTGCCAGCAGTCTTATGAAGACAGTCCTTTGGTGTTCTATTCTATCTGAGTGTTTCCACTCCCCAGCTCGACTATCACCGTGGTTGCTGGTAGCATTTGATTTCTACTGTGTTGCTATCCCCTTTGGGGCGGTTTGGACAAGAAACGTGCATAGGGATTAGGATGTTTGGGCTTAGGGGCTGGTGTGTTTGGAGTTGTGGCATTGTGCATGCGGGGTGGGCCTGGTTTTGGACTAAACGCAGAACCGCCCCTTTTTGGGTGCCCTTGCGTAAAGGATGCAGCTAGCTATACGGTCGTCGTTAAAGGGGCACATGGGCCTTTAGCAAATTCTTGACCGCAGCTCACGTGTGGTCTTACCTTCCAAGCTACGCAAAGCTCACCTCTGGATGGGCTTGAGGCCTTGTCTCTCAGACATCTGTGCAGCTGAACCTGGCAGGTGTCCTGAAACCCTGATACTAGTAGGAGTAACCGGGAGAAGGGAGCTTGCATCCCTTTGGATCCAGTAAAACAAATAGCGCTCCCCAGGAAATGTTTCCCAGGAAATGTTTCTCGGCCTGCAGAGGTTCTGAAGCCTGAAGCCTGCAAAGCCGAAACCTGAGCACTGACGGCTGAGGATGTCGCTGATGACTCGGATGCATCTCCCAGCAGAAGGGCTCCATGGTGGCAACAGACGCGGGGGTGGTGTGGTGCTACTTCTGCTGCTGCTATTGCTTCGTCTTCTACAATACGAATAGTGTTCCCTGTGCTGAGGGCATCAACGGTGGCTGATTCTTACAGACGACGTCCTTAGTCCCAACATCGCTGACATCGTTTCTATGGATCAGCCTTAGACTTGTTGACCCCTGTAGTATCCTTGTACGCAAAAGGATTGGGCAGACTGCCTGTGCACAGCTTCAGCGACATGTTCTGGAACAACTTGAACCGATCAGAAGTCACCCCAGTTGAGTCATCCACGTGTCAATGATATAAAGGCACCGGGAAGTACAGACTTGCTTGCCTTGGCAACGTGTATGAAACTCGCAGTTGACTGCAAGGAACCTGTTGTCGGGATCGCGTCCCCTCGTCCGAAAGAGCACGACATGCCCTGACATCATAAACTACTGACGAGCTTGCGTTGGGCACAGGGCAGACAGGGTTTAAACAGGGTTCAGTATAGCATGGTCGTGAAATCCCCCATTTGAAATGAAGCTACATGAAGCGACTGCTGAGGCTCTTTTCGTTTGATTTTGGCCAGACAGGAACATTGTCAGTGGCTTTGCGTAGTGGTCACGAGTGAAGGGTGCCTCGTGCTTAAGGAGAAGGAGACGAACATCACCAAGATTCTGCGGCTCATTGATCCTGCAATGGTGGATGACACGCCTGGAGCTATAAATGCACTGACGCGCAAGGGAACTGCATTTGTCCCTCGGCATTTGTCACCCTTACTGCTTCTTTTGGTTCTGTTGCCCGAACCTTGTCTCATTTTGGCGCGGCCTGTCCTGTCTATCGTATTGAAGGTATTGTGTAGTGATATTGGTAATAAAGATGAGATGTGAGTAGCAGCGTTGATTGCAGTAATCAAGAGATGCCATAATCCAGCCGCCACATCACCTGGTGTTTGGGGTCACACGGTCACATTTTCATTGTCATTATAGTCACTTACAAGGCCACATTCTGGCATTGCTTGTTACGAAGTCTGGTTCCAGCGTTTGGGTTTGGCGTCAGGTCACGATATGCAGTTCCCTCAGCTTCCACGCGCTGCGGCCGCTAGCAAGCAATACGGATTTCAGTACGGCTCAGATAAGTGCCTTCTGGGGTGACCGAGCTGTAGATCCTACATACAAGCTAGTCCTGAAGGAGCTGTAGCATAAATCCTTATTGGCACAGAAGACTAGGACGTTATTCAGGTTCACGCCAAATATCAAGTATGGAACTTACTTCATCACGTTCTCCTCTACAGGCCCTTGACAGCTAAGCGGTACCGGTCTAAGATGTTCTGGACTTTTCGGAAGAAACACCCATAAACCCCCCTACCCTGATCCCGGGTGGTTAAGGCCCAAACCCAAAAGCCCTGAACCGCTCGAGGGCCCTGAATCCTTTTCAAAACCAAGAGAAGTATTGGGGTTTTTATAGGGTTATATAGGGATAATGGAAAAGAAAATGGAAACTACTATATTATAATAAGGTAACCTTATCATAATATAGTAGTTTCCATTTTCTTTTCCATTATCCCTGTATAACCCTTCTAGGGTAGGAAGAGATACCAGGTTGATCCTCCGCGATGCCTTTTTTCGCTCGGCGGCTACGTCGCCCAACGCCATGATGAAGCGGAAGGCAGTGTCTGGGGGGTCATAGCCCAGACCCCCCAAAGGATCC